TTACAAGTGAGAAATGAGAGAGTATAATTTACTGGCCTTTATTAAAATACTTGTTATCAGAGAGTCCCGTCTCCTTGGCGCATGAACTAATCATGTTTCTGGACCTCTGAGAAGAGGAATTTCGTTCCTTTGTACCGTCACTCTGCTTTCATGGTTTCGCGATTATAAATTTTAGTAACAAAAGGACTGTTAGTTCCTAAATTTGACAGGAAAATATACAAATCAGAGTTTTTACTGATCTTTGAAAAAATAATTATGAATTAGAAAAAATAATTTATTTTGTTCTAACATCTTTCTCCATTATACATTTACCTATGAGCACATAAAAAGAGGCATATGCGAAACTGTATGAATTCAACATTAGCTATATTTAATACAGTAAACCCCTTTGCATTGGGTTAGAGAACTTGCTCAGCAGAGAACCCAGGTTTGGTTCCTAGCACCCACCTTGCAATTGTCAGCCATTTGTAACTCTGGTTCCAGGGGCTCTGCCATGCTGGCCTGTGCACTTATGGCACAGGCATATATGCAGGGAAAACACCAATACACATAAAATAATAACAATAATATCATTAATAATGGTAATCTTTTACATGCTTTTATTGTGAATATGAATCAATTCTATTTAGACTAGAATATGAGCAGATAGTTGCACACACTTAGGTGTACATGAATGCATATGTTCAAGTGTGACAAGTGAATAACCTATCTTCTACTTGGAGGATAGGAAATCTAACATGAAGAAAGGTTCTGGCTTTGAGTTACTTTTAAGTGGGAAATTTTGTTGGTGCTTTCTTATACATTATAGAGAACAGTATAAATGGAATAGTTAAATAGTTACTATTCGGGGCTGGCAAGATGGCTCAGCAATTAAGAGCACTGACTGCTCTTCCAGAGGTCCTGAGTTCAATTCCCAGCAACTACATGGTGGCTCACAACCATCTGTAATGAGATCTGGTGCCCCCTTCTGGTGTGCAGGTGTACATGGAAGGAATGTTGTATACATAATAAATAAATCTAAAAAAAAATTAGTTAAAATTCCAGTTTACCAGTATTTGCTATAACAGCTAGGATTTAGGAAGGTTCTTTTTTGTTTTTGTTTTTGAATAAGGAGCCTGTCCTGGAACTAGCTCTTGTAGACCAGGCTGGCCTCGAACTCACAGAGATCCACCTGCCTCTGCCTCCCAAGTCCCGAGATTAAAGGTGTGTGCCACCCCCGCCCGGCAGGTCTAGTTTCTTAAATATATTCATCAGTAACTAGTTGTGATTTGTAATTAAAGTGTAAACTGTTTTTTTGCTTCTGTTTTCATACCTACAAAATAATGACTCCTGGTTAAGCTTGAATAACTAGCAAAAGTTTTAGTGGTGGATTTTTATTGCATCAAGTCCTTGCTCCTTAAGCCACATGCTCCTTCGCTCCTGGGTTCATTACGGAAGCCATTTTATTCATTCAAAAAATTATCCAGTCTCTAGTCTGCCCCGGATCTTTCCAGTATGGGGGATGTTACAGAAAACAAAGCTCTGTCTTCGAAGACATAGGATCCTAGTGATTTAAAGTGCACATTAATCCTATCAACGTGAATCTAGAGAGTCTTATTACATTCTCAAAATGCAGACAATTGCCACTGAGTGGCTCTGATCCACGATTTTTTATTTATAATGGTACAAGAGATAAGGCAGAGATCATATTTTGAATTTGGAATGCTGGCCTTTTCTTAGGTTAGCAATATTGGTTAGCAATAATCTTCTTGTGATGCTTGACTGTAGGCTGAAGTAATGATTTGAGCTTATCTAGTACAGGTTAAGATAAAGTGTTTGCAGTAGACTGGGTTTATTAAGTGCACTTCAGATTTTTTTTTTATCAGCTTCTAACTGGGACACCTCCTCATTTATAACTCAAAAGGTATTTGTTTTTTATACAAACTTCCTGCTTTGCTAGAATTTTACTGTACGCAAATATTTATTGAGTCCTTAGAATGCACTCAGATTTTTCTAGGCATATAATTATGGGCTTAACGTGCACATTAACTTTATCAATGTCGACTAGAAAGAATTTTTTTTGGTTAAACATCTCCTCATTAATGTGCTTCTAAAGAAAAAAAAACCTTGGAATAATGTATCCTTTTTTTTTAAAGAATTGTATTCACATATTGAAATTGCACACAAAAAATCTGAACACTGATGGATTAAATGCTCATTAAAATATTTATATTAAGGTTAGCTATCCACAGCTGTGGTGTGAGTGTGGCTGTGACATTAAACTTCAATGATCTTGATTAGCTTGTGGATTAGCAGCTCTGACTCTCAGGCAGTTCAAGCTTCTTAAACTCAATAAATGTCTCAGCAGCAATCAAAGACTATCCAGAAATGAGCCTAAAACCACTTTAACATGATTCTGCATACTATTATGGTATATTTTAGAAATAATACCCAAGACAAAGCTAATATTTTTTTGCATTTTCCATAAACTTTCTCAATTATATCCTGTGCACTAAGTGAATTTGTAGGGTGACATATCTGTTTTGGGGAAGAAGACACCACTCAATCAGTGGTTTTCTTTGTTGTTGTTTTTAAACTTCTCCCACATCTAATTTTCTAAAACTTACACATGATGGACTTCATAATATTATGTTGATTCATAGAGTGACTTTTATAAGGCATTTTAAATGGGCAGTTCAATTGACATTAGCCGCAACAATCTAAATCTTAAACATTTTATCCATATCTGGGCTTGGTTGCCTGGACTGTGGGCCCTCATGGGCCGCATCTCTGTCTTAGTGATAAACTCGAAATCTAGCTCCTTTACTGTGGTGATGATGTAATCTGGGATCATGTGACCCTTTCTCTTGCTATCACTATATGAAGGAATGAACAGTGATGCAATTTCAAATCTCGAGATTGTTACTGTAATGTAAGTCTAATACCATGTGATGGTTCCTTTAAAAGCGAGCCATTAGCTGTTTCAGTGGCAGTCACTGGTGTTCTGTCTACAATGCAGTCAGCATCAACTATTGGAAGTGCTTTTATGTAGGAGCCGTAATAAAGGGAACTCACTGTAAGACAATCTACAGCACAACGTGCATCCGAGTGCCTAGCTGATGGGATCAAACCTTTAGCAAATAATCATTGAATCTGCTTCAATGATCCATTAATATTGGGATGCTACTTTAAAATCAGAGCAGTTTGTTTTTAACTGTTTTGCAATTTACAAATGGCAAAAGGAGAGGAATCTTGTCTATCTTCCTATGTCATATGCAGTTTATGGACTACTCCTGTCTAGTGAGAGCTATTCTGTATGTTCACATATTAGACATAGCATCCCACTTTTATAGTATGTGTTTTCCTTAAAGAGAGAAATATAGTCACACCATTGCTAAGAGTTGTTTTTCTTCATCTTTGTTCCCGAGAGAATGTCTTATGGAATTAGGGCTAGAGTGAAGCCCTATAGTGATTAGGATAACCTCAGAACTCTTTCTCCAGTTTATATAACATGTTTTTACCCTGAATTTACACAATCACACATTTTGGACAGTTTAGAACCCAGTCCTGTTCTAGTTTCCAATCATCAAGCAATTTCTACATTGCTGCCAATGAGCGCCAGGAACCCACTTCTTGGTTTGTGGTCACAAGGGTCAAGAAAGAATAAGAATTAAGAGCTGTAGCCTCAGCAACAAATGTAAGTGACAAAGACGCACGTCCTTAGAATGAAGTATTCTTGCTTCCTGAGCTCTCAGCCTTGGCGTAATGGTGGCTTAAAGACATTTCAGAAGAGCTCTAGAGATCTTTCTAGAGACCTCTACAGTCCCGGCACGTCGGTATTTATTACACCCTAGCACATCAGGCATACCACACACACACACACACACACACACACACACACACACACACACACACGCGCACTGTTTAAATGGCCCCTTCCACTGTTCAGTTTCATTTACTCTCAAGACCCTAACACCCACTAAACAACAGCAATGACGTTGGGTTGTGTTCATACATTCAAAAACTGCCTGCCCCTATCACACTGACAGCAGCAATAATGTTTCATTCTGCTTCATGAATCCCTGGCTCTGACAGGCTCCGACAACCCCCCTCTCTGCTTCTGTTGCCATCGGCAGAGCATTTGAAAACCTTAGAGACGGTCCATGTAAACAGCCCTAAGTCCCAGCTAGATCAAACCCATTCCCACCCCACCACCTCTCCCTTCCTTTGTCCATGCCCAGCGTGGACGGTGGAGCAGTAACTGTGTTCTCCTCTCTCCTGAGCCTGACTTTGGGGTTGCGTTTACCTGTTGCCCTAGCTATTCTCTCTTCTCAAGCCAGAAACCCTTGCCCAGGGACCAAAAGGACCGGAGAAAACAAAGCGAATGCCACAAGGACTCTACATAAGGAAACAGTGCATCTCCGAAAGCGATCAAGTGACCCTGGGGTCATTTGATCACAACTCCTCCGCTCTCCCCCATCCCCCTCGCCTCTCCCCCGCCCCCCATCATTTGCTTCCATGGCTCTGGAGACCTGTAAGTAGTGTGGAAAGGATTTTAGAATCTCTTTTCCTTCACAAGTGACCTGAGCGGCAGGTATCAATAATCCTTACCCTTTAGCCATCACTGCCAAGAAGTACTAGAAAATTACATGTGCGTTATGAAAGGCCTTGGAAGCTTTAGAGAGCTCGACAGGTTGCATCCGAAAGTTACAGCTGAAGGACCCTTTCTGCATTTTAGGGCCGACTCAGTCCTATGAGCAGGTTCCTTGAGGCCAAGTGCAGATTCTCCCGCCAGGCCTGGTGGTCCCATTTGCGACCGGCAGGACGAGCCAGGGCACCGAGTCCCTGGGGCGCCAGAGCAGCAGGTGGGAGAGCGCGAGATCCGCCTAGGAGTAGAGACCAGCAGGTGCTGGCGACAAACTAAGCGAGCAAGTCGCCCTGGCCGGGCGAGACAGGCGCCAGCCAGGAAGCTTGCCCCAAAGATACCTCTTGTCCGGGACAGCTCAGGTCGATCCCCTTACCTGTGCCACCTCCTCCCTGGCTGGCCCTATCGGCGGGAAAGATGCCCGAGCACTTGTCCCACTCCACCTGGCCCGCGAAGCACAGCTCGGTGATGATGTGCAGTGCCTTCTGGCACAGGCTGCTCACGCCATCCTCCTTGCGGAAACTCATCTTGGCTTCTGCTTGTTGCTTCTCGGATTTCTCTTGGCCCTAGGCTGAGCCCTAGGAGTTGCAAGTTGGCCCCATGGCGGGCTAGGGCGCAGGAGGGCGGCGCGCACAGATGGACGCTGTTGCCAGGTCTGCGCTTCTCCTCGGAGCGCTCGGAGGCGCGCGGAGCCCAGCCGGCGGGGAGCGAGGGGCGGTGGCGCGCTGAGCGGCGCCTCCCCGGGTGCTAGGCGGCGCGGCCAATCGCAGGCTCGCGCGGGCAGCGGGGGCAGCGGTGACCCGACCCTCCCGCGGTTCCCCCACACCCACCTGAAGCCCCGTTACCCTCTTCTCATCTTCTCCTTGTAATCCAACTTTCCCTGGTCTCTCCCAGAGTCTGCATCTCTTAAAAAAAAAAAAAAAAGTCATTCCCCATTCCAGAACTGATATATATATTTTAAAAATGCAAGAGTAACCAGAGGACAGGTCCATGCAAAGCGGAGGTACATCTGTTTAAAATTTGTTTTCTAACGACTTGGGACAATGATGATTAAGGGATTGGGAGCATTCTAGGTGAGAACATCTAATTTGGGTCCTCTGAAGCTGGTTTACCTGGTGCTGAGAACATGGCATCTTTAATTCATTGCGTTCAGCCCTCTCAGGTAGATAATAGAACGAAACATGTCACCCGTCAGGGTTTTATTTATTAAAATCTTAACTGGTGACGGAGATGCGCGACTTGATCGATCCCCTTCCTCTTTTCTTAGCGACTTCAACAGTGCAAAGACAAGATTTCCGTGACAAAAGGAGGAGTGTCGGGGGATCAGGGTAAGTGCAGTCTGCTACCGGCACGGGCTTATTTGTAAAGACATTGTTTTGAAGTCTTTTTTCTCAGCCTGTCTAGAATAAAAGGCATTAATTGGGGCATCATGACTCCCCCTGTCTGAATTTCTCTAATTCAAATGGGTGTAAACCACCAATGAAGCTGAAGATACAAAATAAAATTAGTAAACAGTTGCCACAGGCTTTGATAAATGCAACTACTTAGTTTTAAAAACCACTTTCACGCCGGCCAGTCAAGGTGGACGATCTTCACCTTCCAGGTCCGCCAATTCCAGTTCCCCCAGTCTTATCCCCAGCTGTGGAGCAGGCCAGCTGCTGCCTCCCCGCCTCCCTCTTGGCCACGTTCCCAGGGTTTCCAGGGATAAAGCAGAGCGTTACCACAGTCTTAGACCCTCACCGGACCCCTTTGGTTCAGCCTTCAAACTCCGGGAGGTTCTCCCTGGAAACCTTATGGCTATACTAGCCTGGGAATCAGGTAGGCAATCTTCACTTTCTTCCCGTCCTCCAAATCTAATTTCCTAGCCCCACCGCAGGACCTGAAGCAGGCCACCTGCTGGGCCTCACCTTCCTCTCAGATCCTTATCTCCAGGGGACTATTTAGATCCTCCTGCGCACCCCGCTTTCCTCCCTCCACCTCACGAACCCCTCAGCCCCACTACTCCTTCTCACCTGCCTCTATTTCTTGGGTCAACTCCCAGTATCCAGAAAGACTTTTGAACCCAGGAACCCCAGTGGCCACACCTGACAGGCTCTCACCTCCCCATCTGTTCAAATAGTACCACTTCCAGGTGATTAAGTATTCAAATCCGTGAGCCTGTGGGGGCCATTCTCATTCAAACCACCACAAGGGAGGGGTACTGGGATAGACTATCAAAGAGGGAGAAGGAGGGAAGCCAGAGGCGAGAGAGGGAAGAGGGACACTTAACAGCCACTTGGGGGTTCATATAGAAACTTAATACAGTAGAAGCCTCTAAAATTTATACATATATGAAAGTGATCAAACTGACATTGCCAAATGATAGAGGAAACAGAGCCCCACCTGGACATCTCTCAGCACCAAACGTGCCTCCAGTTCCAGGAATAAGTTAAATCTAACAGAGTCGTTGTCCAAAGCGGCCCTATGGAAACTCCCGAACAACCCAAGCTATTGCTCACAGTAAAGCCCTATTGATACAGACACCACCTACACAACTCACTGAACACGGAGAAGGGAATCTATCACTTCTCTAGGGCCTGCACCCCTATGAACTAGTGTTCATGGTATTGGCAGGTACTCTGCAGGCTTCCAAAGGAGAAAGGTAAACACCAACCCAGCTATAAACCCTTCCATCCACAATTGTGACTTGCCTGCAAGATACACCGGGGTAGTATTGGTACAGAAGTTGTGGGAATAACCAACTAATATCTGATTGCATGCACATCCTACTCCAGGAGATAGAACTCATACACAATGACTGCTTGGGTGCCCAAGAGTCTCAGACTAGTTAGACTACATAGGAGCTACTAATGGCATTCTGCTATACTCATAGATCAGTGCCTCTTTGCTCAGCCATCATCAGAGAAGCTTCCTTCTACAGTAGACAGGAATAAATACAAGATCCATAGCTAGACAATGTGCATAGAAAGAGAGACTCTAGAATAGTCAATCCTTTATGGGATGTTGCCACCAAATCCCTCCTTTCAGGGCTTAGGGAATCTTTCAGGTGAGGAAGCAAAAAGGTTGTAAGAGCCAGAGTGGATGGGAGGACACCAAAGAAACAAGGCCCTCCAAATACAACAGCAGCAGCACACATATAAACTCACAGAGCCTGCACAGGTCTGGGCCACATTTGGGGTCCTAGTGTTGAGAGAAGAAGTAGATACAACCCCCCACCCATTACCCAGGCACTATCTCCAATTGGTAACTGCTTGCAAATTAAAGTTAGTTTTCTCCAACAGCGTCTCACTGGGGATACAAACCACACTTAAGGTCATGCCACATGCCCAGCAGTAGATGGTCAATACTAAACTAACTCATTGGCATTTTTTGTAGGTCCTTTGTCTCAGGGTTTTTTGTTTTAACCTTACAATTCCTTTGTGTATATATTATGGCTCATGGATTTGTGTTTTATGGGATTTATGTATGCGTCCCTGCATCTCTATGTGTTTTCCATTAACTCTTTTTCTTCTGTTTTGTCATAATCCACGTTTTATCTTTTTTACTATTAGCTTTTAGATGCCTGTTTTCTGACAAGAGAGAGAAAGAAAGGGTGTGGCTTTGTATGGGAGGTGTGATGGGGAGAACATGGGAGGAGTTGGGGGAAGGTAAAATCAGCATAATCTCTTGCTAATAAGAAATCCGTTTCAATAAAAGGAAAATAGAAGAAAAAAAAACCCTCACATTTTCCTGTGGTTTGTTCCCATATTGTAACCCGGGGATTTGATTATCTATTATTAGGCAAGGGAGACATAATTTCTGAGAAGGAACATCCTGAACGTGTTTGCTTGCCCATTCTGGTAAAATGTATAGTTTTATTTTAAGCTACTAGTCAATCCGTGGCTCGTGTCTGTCGGGTGGACGATATGGTAAAGCTCACAGTAAGAACAAGGCACTGCAGTGCTGTGAGTAAGTACTCATTAGTTGAATCATTTTTACCTGATTCATAGGGAAATTGGGTGGTCTGAGACTATTTTTACCGTGGATTAAGAGACACTAAAATCTGCAGGCTTTATTTGATTTTTTCTTTATTGCATAATGAATGGTGGTTTTTAGATAGAAATAAAAAAATATTAAACTGCAAGTTTAAAAATACTGGCTATCTACGGTACGCTAGAAGTTAAGTGACACATTCGAGTAGAGCTTTTTCCCAATCGTCCTTGCCCTCCACTTATCTGCAGAACAGTGTGCAGCGCATTGTGTGCTTCTGAAGGCACTGGCTGAGCAAAACGCCGTGTGGAGGGACAGATGAGTAATTTGTCTTTTATACCACTTCCATCGTCCCCTTGCTTAAGGAAAGTAACAGATGCAGATGCAGAGAGATGCAGATCCCTCCAGTAACCCTCCTACATTTGATTTCTGCTTTAGTGTTAAGGAAACACATTCTGAAGGTGTTTGTTTACAGTGTCCTGGCCCCATTGCTACTCTCATTTGTGTTTCTGTAACCTGCATAAACTTCTCGGTGAGTCTCAGCCTTCCTAATGCTGCTCCCAACCATCAATTCATTCTGTTGGTACTTCATAACTGTAATTTTGCTACTGTTATGAATTCTAATGTAAATATCAGTGTTTCCTGATGGTCTTAAGAGACCCCTTCACAGGGGTCACTCCACCCTTGAGAGGTCTGGAACCACAGAGAATCGCTGCCTCAGGTGATCCTTCACTGGAAGCTCTTCTTTCTTCTACATTGAATGCCCCATGGCCCGTCTCTTCTCTCTGTTGTTGGCTCCTTTCCACAAATCATTCATAAGACATTGCTACCTGCGTTTGTTAATACCTCAGTAGGAGTTGGGAGAAAGCACTACATTCAAAGTCATCCCCTGCCCTGGTGTTGGAGGCTAAGATGACAAGAATTTAAATATGTAGTCTTTATTATTCTTACTTCTTGCCAGTTATTTCAGCTTAAAAAGTAAATGCCTTCAGTCCAGACGTGCCTTCATGTCCTGATCCACACACAGAGAAGGAGAATCCTGCGGTAGTGCACTGTTTAGAGTGACAGCCATTGAGCACTGATTGTTACAAATACATTATTCAACTGTACCTTGGTTTAAACCATGCCTAACTTGGTGGCACTCATACCTGTGAATCCCAAGCCAGACAGGGTTACATAATGAAATCCTGTCAAATAACAACAGCAGCATCAACACCACTTACAAAGCCTTCCCTTTCAACGACTCCTGTCACTGCCTGCTTTCCCGTGGCTTCTGTATGATGTGTAAGAGAAACTGGCTTGGAGATGCCGGTTCTAAGAGAAATCCCTAGAGGTAATGTTGAGCACTCAATACTGTGATACCACCCCCCCAATTAACTCAAGTCTCTTCCATTTCCTTCTTTTCCCATTTTCAAACCCTTTCCCAATCCTCAAAGAAGGAGAATCATAAGAGATACATGGGAATCTTCCCCAAGATTAGACTTCAGCTATTACTTGATCACATCCCCAATAAAGGAACTAAGAAGACGATTAGAAGAAATCTCAGCTTAAATGAAGATCATAGTCAAGCGTTTAATTTTGTGCTCATGTTCTCCTTCTCTGTGTTCTACACACAACTCAGAAGCATAACAGTCTTGCTCTTTAGTTTAGAGGGTCCTTTCACTCTTTGAGAATCTCATAGTATATTCTGACCAAATCCACACTCTACTCCTCCCTGTAGCTCCT